ATCACCTCTTGTAGTAAAAAAAAAACGTTTTTTCAACTTTTTTTATTAAAAAAAATAGTAAAAAAAAAAGTGATGTTTTCAATACCCATTTGAACTTCGACGACGAGGATGTTGCCATTAAGTGTTTTGTTTGCCGTTTTGAACTTGGAGGAAGAGGATGTTACCATTAAGCGTTTTTTTTGCCGTTTTAAACTTGTGACCCAGGAGCAGTTATCCCTTTTTTTTTTTTTTGGTTATGTGTTTTTTATTTTAAATCAATATTTTTTTTGGATATGACCACAAGGCAAATTTAAAGTTGTTCAGTATGAGATGTCAGGAGGGGGGGCCGCGGCGATAGCGGCGCCCGGTCATCGACGGCGCAGGCATTTCAGGACGAATCTGGCCACCTGTTTGCTCTAGATTCACTTTGACTGAATCTCATGTGTACATATTGGCCAGATTCGCCTGAAAATGAATGGCAGGCATCGTTGCTAACTTGGTGCTGAGCTCTCTCTCTCTTACTGAATCTCATGTGTACATATGGCCAGATTTGCCTGAAAATGAATGGCAGGCATGGTGCTCTCTCTCTCTCTCTCTCTCTCTCTCTCTCTCTCTCTCTCTCTCTCTCTGTGTGTGTGTGTGTGTGGGCTATGGGCATTTCAGGGCGAACCTGGCCACATGTTTGCATTAGATCCAGTTGCTAGATTGAATCTGAATAGATGTGGTCAGATTCTCTCTCTTTCTCCCCCCCCCCCTCTCTCTCTCTGTGTCTCTCTCCAACCACTTGTCATGGTGCGCACTTCCTTGCTTGCCATGAGTGCTCCTGGCGAGTCCTCAGCCATGGACAGATTTGAATGCAACCGGGCTACATAAGAACAGTGCGAGGATTTGACTCTTCGGCAGGCGTAAGGGGCCCCCTGATACAGATGTGGCTAAACCACCAGTACTTGGCCCAGCTATCGGCCGCGGAAAAAAAATAGAGAAGAAACGTTTCTAGTTGGATGAATTTGGGCGCTCCTGTAGTGGCGCGTACGTTTCCTAAAATCTATAGCGTTAACGGGCATGACTTTAGGAAGTACTGGTGGTTTAAGTGAAGGCGGGCCTAATAAACCACGAGATGCCCAAGGCTGTCAATTTCGTATCTGGGGTACTGGCAGCTGTGTCACACTAGTTGGTTGAGGACGCCCAGGCCATGAGCAGGCGTTTCTCGAAATGCAGGCCCTGGGCAGGATTCACAGCATCATACACAGACAGTTGGGAGGCCCAACTTAAGAGGCCCAGCAGCTGCAACAGAGGCATAGCCTCCTGGGGCCTACTGGAAGGTTCTGGAACTTCTGGGCACTGGCCCAGCCCAGCCAGGCCGCAGGGCAGGCGGACTCTTTCCATATATGAAAGAGCTCGCTGCCTGGAGGCTCATTCAGGCACTTGCCAGTTTGTGCGGCAGCGCTGCTGGAGCGGAGGCTCGCGTTCTGCTGTGTGTAAGGGCAAGGTGCTGTGTGCGTGTGGTCGTGCGAGAAGAAGGGCACTGCTGAAGGCAGCGCCATAGCCCAGCCTCCATAGCCGGCTGGGGCTTGGACTACAGTTAGGCGCAGGGATGGTCTTCGGGTGTACAGAGGGAAGACGTGGGTAAAAGTCCAAGGAGAGAGAAGGATGATGATGATGATGTGAGGGCGCATACCTGGTATTGGCGATGGTCTGCACTGGTGGTCCGTGGTGGACATCTTCAAGTAGTTTGTTGGCTGCGGACGTCAACAGTTGCATTGTCAATACTAGGCAGATAGTACCTGTGTAGGGAGTAGGCTGGGCGCCGAGCGCCAAGTGGGGAGAAGGGCCTGGACACTTATGTTGGTGGTGGCGTAGTAAGCTCTCATTGACATTCAGTTCTCAGTGTTACGAATCTACATTGGTGTTATAGTGGTGCAATGCTGCTTTCTGGACACTGATACTTTCTGGCCTTCAATGTGATAGTGCGATCCGGATACTGTCATCTCGCTATTGCTCATTGTCTTTGCAACAGGAAAAAAATAGAGGAAATGAAAATAATAAAATATGCGATGGCCGGTACCGGTTCCGGCCTGGGACAATTTTTTTTGCTCCAGAACAGTGCGGTACTGGCCTCATGGTGGATCTCTGGCCTGAGTCTCTGAGGGTCTCTTAGGCCAGAGGATGACGGGTCCTATCCTGGCAAAGTCTGCAAACGATGTCAACTTTGCTGGGAAACTCGGTGGGCCTGGTGAAGCTGCTGTGAAACATATATATTTTTGTAAGCGAAAGTTGGGACCCAAGATATTTCTGCTGTCAGACTTTCGAAGAGCTATGTTTTTGCAATTTTACGCTGTGAATTCTTGAACTCTTCTCCGGCCATGGAGATGTATGTGTGACAGTCTTTGGAAGTTTGGAACCATTCATCATTCATGGCCTGGACTTCCTCTCTTGAGTGTGGGGGATCTTCTCTGGCCATGGAGAAGCCTGTGTGGCAGTCATTGGAAGTTTGGAACCATTCATCATTCATGGCCTAGACTTCCTGAATGTGGGGGAAAGGGCAAGCTGTAAAGTCTTGTGCCAAATCATGGCAGCATCTTCCAGGTCGTGAGTGCTGGGCAACGGGGGAGTGCAGGAGAAATGTCGTGAAAGGAAACAGCTTCCCATGTCTTGAGGGGGGGAAATGGTGGGAAAGCTTTTTTGTGGGGTTAATGGGACGAAAGTTTCTTTAAATTTCCCATCACGTACCTGTGGGCGGTAGCACTGCTGTACCTCCTCCCCGGTTCTGATCTGAGGAAGTGTATGACTCGTTAGGCGGCCCCACGGCCGAATTGAAAACGGGCTTGTTTGCCTATGCTGATGAGTGGAACGTGGGCAATGAGATGATGACTGATGAATAATATACAACACTGTTATGTTTGTGTTTTGCGTCTGGCAGGTGTTTCCGGTTGGAGGAGGGGATGATCCACGGACTGTACTTGGTGGATTTGATAGGGACCTGATGAGGAGAGCATTTAATCTGAAGCACGAAGAGTTGGAAAGTCTACTCACCTCGCAATCTCGAGGTTGGATCGTCCCGCTGTTGCGTGTTTCTCCTGATCAGCTCACAGTCTCAAATGAGCAAGACAAGGAGGTAGGGAAGTGGAACGGGGAGGATGCACCCTCCGAGGCAATTTCTGGTGAGTCTGGTGAAGACAATGCCATGGCAAGGAGGCATTCGGTTGGAGTAAGAAGTACTGGGATGTGGAATCTCCTGAGGTATGGATCAGTGCAAGGGCCTGCTCTATATGAGAAGGTAGTGGGGCCCTTCCTTCGCAGTGTCGGGCTTGAAAGTGCGGGTGCCACTGCAGGAAAGCGAGGAGAATGCGAAGGGGGCGCGGAGGGAGAATTGAACACTTCCCTCAGTGTTGAGCGACATCAGATAAGCAAAAATAGAGCAGGCAACAGCTCGCCAAGCTTCGATCGGGGACAGGAGGAACTGCAGCTGGCTTCCATTGATGTTGATGTTGAGAAGTGGTGGTTGTCGAATCCGTACAATGTGTACAAGAGTACGAAAGACTTTTCTAGCCCACATGGATCATCAACCATTGTTGACCGGGTGAAGCTCTCATTCCTCAAGCATGTCGACATGGGAGTATTCTTTGTTCAGCTAATTAAGGTGTGTGCTTGGGATGCACATGCTCAACACCAGTGTATACCCCCATTTTTTTCTCCCTTCTCTGAGGCTTCTCGACCTCTCCATTCCAGGCACGTTTCTGTGAATTCTGCCCCTTCCCCCCCAGCCCACCCAAACCTCCTTGCCCTCCCTCCCACCATGATGGCACCATCCCTCCTCAGTGTTCTGAGTGTTCTCAGCACAAAAAAACAAACATCGGATTCGTGAAAACCCAACAAAAAAAAATGTTGGGTTTGAACGAAATCTATTTACGATTCTCAGCGTATGGTTTTTATGCCTTATGTAGGAGCAAGATTCTTTGCGAAGTAAAAAGACCACAAAAAAAGAATAAAAAAATAAATTTTGAGAACCACTGGAAGTGGCGAGGAAAAAATCATGTTTTTCCCTTGGTTAAGTCGGTGTCCGGCCCAGACGGACCGGGCCAGACGAACGGGGGGGGGTCCGTCCGGCAAAACCAGACGAGCCAAAAAACATCCCAGGAATTTTTTATTATTTTTTTTGAAGATGGGGTTGGAGTGCGCTCGCTGAGCGGAGCCCGAATCCGCAGAGAAACTTGTGAA